AAAACGTGCCACGCGGCAGTTTCGAAGCCCAATAGAAACAGCTTTTGGGGCCAATAGGGAGGCACCATGGCAAAGCCAGCAGGACGCTGCGAGAGCTGCTGCGGAGGGTTGTGCGGTGCTGAAGCCATCGAAAGCTCCTGCGAAGCTTTTGAGGGTTTGAAGGCCTGCCCAAAACGTGCCACGCGGCAGTTTCGAAGCCCAATAGAAACAGCTTTTGGGGCCAATAGGGAGGCACCATGGCAAAGCAAGCGGGACGCTGCGAGAGCTGCTGCGGAGGGTTGTGCGGTGCTGAAGCCGTCGAAAGCTGCTGCGAGGCTTTTGAGGGTTTTAAGGCCTGCCCAAAACGTGCCACGCGGCAGTTTCGAAGCCCAATAGAAACAGCTTTTGGGGCCAATACGGAGGCACCATGGCAAAGCAAGCGGGACGCTTCGAGAGCTGCTGCGGAGCGTTGTGCGGTGCTGAAGCCGTCGAAAGCTGCTGCGAGGCTTTTGAAGGTTTTAAGGCCTGCCCAAAACGTGCCACGCGGCAGTTTCGAAGCCCAATAGAAACAGCTTTTGGGAGGCACCATGGCAAAGCAAGCGGGACGCTGCGAGAGCTGCTGCGGAGGGTTGTGCGGTGCTGAGGCCTTCGAAAGCTCCTGCGAAGGTTTTGAGGGTTTGAAGGCCTTCCCAAAACGTGCCACGCGGGAGTTTCGAAGCCAAATAGAAACAGCTTTTGGGGCCAATAGGGAGGCACCATGGCAAAGCAAGCGGGACGCTTCGAGAGCTAAGCTGCTGCGAGGCTTTTGAGGGTTTTAAGGCCTGCCCAAAACGTGCCACGCTGCAGTTTCGAAGCCCAATAGAAACAGCTTTTGGGCCTTTTGGGGCCAATAGGGAGGCACCATGGCAAAGCCAGCAAGACGCTGCGAGACTTGCTGCGGAGGGTTGTGCGGTGCTGAGGCCTTCGAAAGCTGCTGCGAGGCTTTTGAGGGTTTTAAGGCCTGCCCAAAACGTGCCACGCGGCAGTTTCGAAGCCCAATAGAAACAGCTTTTGGGGCCAATAGGGAGGCACCATGGCAAAGCAAGCGGGACGCTTCGAGAGCTGCTGCGGAGGGTTGTGCGGCGCTGAGGCCTTCGAAAGCTGCTGCGAAGCTTTTGAGGGTTTTAAGGCCTGCCCAAAACAGGGTTGTGCGGTGCTGAGGCCTTCGAAAGCTCCTGCGAAGCTTTTGAGGGTTTGAAGGCCTGCCCAAAACGTGCCACGCGGCAGTTGCGAAGCCCAATAGAAACAGCTTTTGGGGCCAATATGGAGGCACAATGGCAAAGCAAGCGGGACGCTGCGAGAGCTGCTGCGGAGGGTTGTGCGGTGCTGAAGCCGTCGAAAGCTGCTGCGAAGCTTGTAAGGCTTGCCCAAAACGTGCCACGCGGCAGTTTCGAAGCCCAATAGAAACAGCTTTTGGGGCCAATAGGGAGGCACCATGGCAAAGCAAGCGGGACGCTTCGAGAGCTGCTGCGGAGGGTTGTGCGGTGCTGAGGCCTTCGAAAGCTGCTGCGAGGCTTTTGAGGGTTTTAAGGCCTGCCCAAGACGTGCCACGCGGCAGTTTCGAAGCCCAATAGAAACAGCTTTTGGGGTCAATGGGGAGGCACCATGGCAAAGCAAGCGGGACGCTGCGAGAGCTGCTGCGGAGGGTTGTGCGGTGCTGAGGCCTTCGAAAGCTGCTGCGAGGCTTTTGAGGGTTTTAAGGCCTGCCCAAAAGGTGCCACGCGGCAGTTTCGAAGCCCAATAGAAACAGCTTTTGGGGCCAATAGGGAGGCACCATGGCAAAGCCAGCAGGACGCTTCGAAAGCTGCTGCCAGGGAGGGTTCTGCGGTTCTAAGGCCGTATACAAAGGTACCATGGTAAAGCCAGCACAGGGCCATGCCGCACACCTACGGTGATCCCAGGCGCCGCCCCGCCTAGGCCAAGGCTAGGCAGGGGTCGGCGGATATACTTCAAATCCGTTTTGGGTCGGATGGAGCATTCACCCTGGATGAAGCTGTTGCTCGCTGTGCTCGCAACAAACTTCAGCCTGAGAACCACCCTATGAAAACAAACTGGGAGGGCCTGGTGGAGGCAGGAGACTTTTATACCACTTCGATCCACTTCGTATCTTACAGGAGTCTTACAGTAGTCTTACAGGCTTCAGGGCCTAAGTTGAGTTCTTTGACATCATGGATTATACACGTGGGTTGAGTGAGAAGGTTTCTTCGGCAATGTCATTGCCAAACCATTGCGCCCATTGTGACTACAAGAACTGCCATAGAACTGCCCCTTCCCTTTAAGAAAGGAACTCGCTATATATCCCTTTATTGATGAGCAAACCCACACAGCAGGCAGCCCCATTGAGAATTGGAACGCAGGAAAGGTGGCCACTGCCTTACAAAAACTACATGCGGGGCAGGCAAAATTGTTAAGACACTATCACTAGCTTACATTCAGGGGCCTTCCACCCAGAGGAGTTTGAAGGCGCCTTGATGAAGATGCTGCCCACCATTCGGCAGAGCGCCATTACATGACTACAAGTAGAAGATAGATCCTTTTGGGGACACCTTTTTCTGTTTGGAATGTTCCATCCCACCAGACAAGTTTTTTTTCTTAATAATATATATATATATATATATATATATCGCAGACGTTTGCATTTTCGCACGCGCACAAAATCCATTCTTATTTTAACACATCGATGCCGATTCCTGATTAGATATTTTCATGTGTCGAGACGTTTAGATTTATTTATTTCGCGCGTTCTCGCTTGTGTGTGTATCCGTACCGGTTTAAATGCCTGCTGAACTACATGCATAGAATCTACGGAGGGTTTTTAATTAGTGACGCAAGCAGATTCAGTTCCCCCCGAACTACACATACGTACAAGACCTCAATCAGGAGGGAATCTCACATGCAGTTTTCAAGAAGATCATGTAATTTCGTCGGGTTTTTCTTGAGGAATTGTGCTTTGATGCGTTTTATCATCATGCTGGGAAGAGGGGTGCCTTTGCGGCCTTGACGAACCATATGGTTTAGACAGCTGGAAGAAATGTCCCGTTTCTCGCGCCTTGTTGATAGAAACTTTTTAAATCCATGGACTCAAAACTATGTTCTTGGAGCTCATGAAAAGGGTACTCATTGGTCTAGGGGTATGGCATTCAGCTTCATTTGTTTTCATGCAATATCATGCAATTTCCTTTTGAATGAACTTGAGTGAAAATAATGCACTGGGGATGAATTTTCCCTTCAGAGGGTTCGAAGCAATTCTATTTTTGGATGCAAGTGTGCATTTTTGGAGTGTTTTGGCATTTGTTTGAATGTCTTGGCATTGGTTTAGCTGTGTATATAAATGTTTTTGCGTTTTTTTTTCAATGTTTTAGTTTTGGCATTTGTTTGGTATTTTTGTTATCGTTTTTTTAATGAATGTTTTTGCAAGTTTTTGCATTTGTTTTGCATTTTTTCGTATTTTTGGCAACGTTGTTGGCTTGGAGTCTGTCAGTCCGAGAGGCTATGTGGGATGCAGCAAGTTGTACATAATATGTCTTGCAGCACCAAGTGCCCTCGACTGGGGTGATAAAGTGTGTCGGTGGTTTGTTGCTGGTAGAAACGTAACAGCATGATTTTGTATGAAACTGCATGTTCCAGTAGGAAATGGTATGTTTAGTATTATGTTTAGGCATTTTATACGTTTACCAGGTGTGCAGAAACAGCTTGGATGAGTACCCCTTTGATCAGTAACCAATGGTGTTTGAATTAGAAGAAGATGAAGCGATAAAGTGGCGATTTGTGAGGAGAAACATGTGGGCGTGCACGTGTTTTTTTTAAAAAGTGGGTTGCTCCTGTTTACAAGCTTAACCATTAACATATTCTGATCCCAATATTCAAAGCTTAAAGACTGCAACTCTGCAATGTCCTACGTTCATGTTGTTTCCGCAGCACCGTGTGGTTAGTTCCCAGACGCACTATGTAGCGAGATTCACTTATGTATGTACATGTGCATGCGCATTATGTATATATAAGTTTTAGGTATCAGATCTTATGTGTATGTATGATGTATGATGTACTGTGTATATTGCAGTAAGTATTTGCATTTTATATTGTATATTTTGCATTATGCATTCTGTAGTATTATGTGCTAGGTGCTATGTACTTTGCGCTCTGCATTATGTATTATGTATTATGTATTATGTATTTTGTACCGTGTATTGTGTTTATGTATTGTGTAAGTTGTAATAAGTTTTAAAGTCTTACATGTTATGTGCTGTGTACTATGTATATATTATGTATTGTGTATTATAGTCAATTATGTAGTAGGATGGGTGGGCGTAGAAGGCCGCGAAATGAAACTGTTTTTGCTGTTTTAGGTGCTTGGTGTCACAGTGTGAGCGGGTTTTTTTGAATTTTCGTGCGTCTCCACTGAACGAAATGCATTTTTCCTATTTTTGTGTCCTTTTTTGCTGTTTGGGGGTTGGGGTGGGGTGGGGTGGGGCAATAACGTCAATTGGATTTGCACTCCTTTTTTGCTGTTTGGGGGTTGGGGTGGGGTGGGGTGGGGCAATAACGTCAATTGGATTTGCACACGCACACACACACACACACTCTACTACTGGACGTCTTTTTTTTGGGGGCACTTGCACACAGCCATCATGCTACGCTACTGGACGTTCTCTTGCACTTGCACACGCGCACACGCACACACACACACACACGTCATGCTACCCTACTGGACGTTCTCTTGACGTAATAGTGGGACGTTGTAACACGTTCATGATGTTATGTTCTGACATAATGATAGGACTTTGTTACGCGTTCATCATGTGATGTTCTGACATGCTGATGGGACTTTGCAACGCTTTCCCACTTAATGGTGATGAACATATATTGGATGGGAAAAACAGCATGCCCGTCCGCAGAAACAAAAACACATTATATAAACATATGGCTACAGCCGTTACTGCTCAGTACCCCCACAACCAGGTCAAGAGTAGATCCTAGCGGGAATGGAACCCGCTCGGCGAGTAATTGACGTTGATGAGGAGGAAGAGGCACCCCATATGGGGCAACATCATGCTTTGGTGCCGGTTGAGGAGGATAGTCCGTCAAAGCGAGCTAAAACTCACGCACTGGCATCCCAAGCCGCAATGGATCAACGACAGTTGGTAAACCTCATCCAGTCAACCATTCAGGAGTCAGTTGCGTCCTCCCTCAGCCCCATGCAAGCCACAGTCCAAGCATTGGCAGACAAGTCTTCCGTGCAGGATGGTCGTCTTGACAGTGTTGAACACGTGCTAAATTCTCAACATGGTTTGCTTCGGGACATGGACTTGAAATTGCATGACATGGACTTGAAACACTCAAGCCGGATGGATGCTTTGCAGGATGAGCTTGTTCACTTGCAAAAGGCCGTCTCAAGCCCCAAAGCCGCTCAATCTCCGTCGTCTCTTGGTTCTCCTGTCTCGGCCTCTGGGCTCCAAAGTGGAACTTTTGACATAGTGATTGGTGGTTGGAAAGAAGGATCCACCCGTGATTGGGTTGAGAAGGAAATTGGAAAGTTGCTTGTGTCTGCTGGTGTTGAGGGAGATGTTTCGCAAGCACTTTTGTATGGCAAGCGCCCCAATTTCGCTAAGTTAAGCTTGAAGATGGAAAGCCAATGGGCCCCTGCTCAGCGCAGAGAATTTCAGTTGCGGGTCTTGACCCATCTTCGGGAGGCTCGGTGGAGTCCAGGGGGGTGTGACGCTTGGATTACCACAGACAAAACACCGAAGCAGCGCAGGGTCTCCAGGGCGATCGCCCAATTGAATGCTTTCCTTCGAGACCAGCTGAAAGTTGATCGTGCTTTGCTTGAGGTGGCGTCGTGGGCGTCGGCTAAAGCCTATATCGGTGAGTTTCGTGTCACCGGTCTCACTGAAGAAAACGAATATGGCGCCAAGCCCTCCTGTGATGTTGATGACTTGCGTTGGCTTGTTCATGATGCCCGGCTTGGAATCACTGTTTGGCTTGACTTGGCTTCTCTGGCAATGTCGCTTGGCATGGATAAGGCAGATGTCAAGGCCAAATGGCTGGCCCACTTCGGTGGCCCTAGCCTGTGACAAGATGTTGGACTAGTATCACCCGGCCAGCCTGGATACCAGGCGAGGCCCATTGCTGCTGCTGCTGCTGCTGAGGGCGAGCCAGTCTCACCCAGTGATGAGCTGAACAACAGTTTGTTGCAATTTGGCACTTGGAATATTCAAGGAAAGCCTCTTGAATTGGCCCTCACAGCTTTGCATGACTTTAGCATTGACTTGCATGCCATTGCTCTCCAGGAAGTGGGGCGGGTGAGTGAAGAGGACCCACATTTGCCCATCCATGTGTCTGAGTGTGAGGGATTTGTCGTCCTCACAGCCAAGCCCAGTGCTTGCTTCCGTCACCTTGCCCTTGGGCTTGATGGAGATTGCTTTGCTGATTGGTGCAGCGGCCAGGTGGGACATTCTCACTTCAGTTGTGCTGTACAGATCCCACCGTTCCAAAGGAGTGTTTGCTTGGTTACTGCCCTTTTGCCTCATCAGGGCCGACCATTGGATGACTTTCTGGCCGCCTTGTTGTCTTTGGAGGAGTGCTTGGCCCCCCTGGTCCGGAAAAACCACCCCATAATCCCTCTTGGCGATTTGAATGTGGACTTGTGTCAGGGTAGTGGTGCTCGCCTTACTGCACTCCTCGCGTGCTTTCAAAAGCTTGGGTTGCTCCATTTCTCCACGGATTCGGCGCCCACGTGGGGCACCCACCGCTTGGATCATCTCGTCTGCAACTGTTTGGTCGTTGACACTTGTCGGGTCTTCCCTTGCCAGACCGCTTGCCCATGGGCTGTGGTGGAGGTTCGGCCTGGTCTCAAGCAAGCTCTGTCTGTGGACCACAACTTCGTGCTGCATGAGTTGTTGACTGTTGGCCGGGTCCGCAGGTCTCGGGGTCACCGGTTTCGTCGCTATCGTGCTTTCCTGAACAGGCCCTGCAAGATGCATGTGACAAACGTGCCCCTGCTGCAACAGAAGATTTATGGCTTCTTGGACTTTGCCTCTCGTAGTGGTGTGCCTGACCCCCAGTCTTTCCTTGCTGAGTGCGCTGTTCAGTGTTGTTCCCGTGCTCCCGCTCTCCGGTTCCGTGACTCCCCCGAACTGCAACAATTGTGTCGGGCTCGGTCCCTGTGTGGTGACACGCATCAGCGCAAGGACCTGTCTCTGTCCATCCATGTTCGTCGCAAGTGGGAGAAACAGCTGTGGAGACGCCATCTACTGGACCGGGCTTCTTGTGGGGATTGGAGTGCGAGGCGCTTCCTGCAGCGTAAGTCTGGCTCCTCTGCTTCCCGCGTTGCTGCTGGGCTCGTCCGCCAGTTTGGCTCTCGTGATGCTGCCGTTGCCCATGTCAAGGATCATTTTGAACAAAAGTTTGATTTTCCCGTTGCAGCGCCTATATCGTTCAGTGACTTGCCCAATAGTGAGCCGGACTTCACCGAGGAGGAGGTGTGCCGGACTGTTCTGAAAATGAGGACGGGCAAGACCACCGGCATGTCGAAAGTTAGCGTTGAGTTGCTCCGTTGTTTGGTTGCCTTGCCCTTGAGTCTCCATGCCCTGACGCTCATGTTGAATTCTTTCCTCCGTGATCCTACAACTGCCAATGTGGAACTTGCTTCTGGTTGGGTCATACTCTTGCCCAAGACTCTGTGGGTATGCCATGCCAAGAATTTTTGCCCCATTGTTTGTGGAGAAGTCTTTGCCAAGCTTGCTGCGAAACTGGCCACCGACCGGGTTGTTCACCATTGGACGGTTCCTGCCTGTTGTTTTGGGTCCGTTTCTGGCAAGGGCCTTCCGGAAGCTTTGTATATTGCCAAGCATGCGGCGCAGTCATCGGCTGCTCTTCCCAATGGTGCCCTGTTTGTTCAGCTTGACTTGTCGCAGGCTTTTGACTCGTTGTTCGTGAATGCCATCCTGTCGTTTCTGCAAGATCATTGGCTTGCCTCTACAGCCTCCAGTGCTTCGCTCCTCCGGTGGGTTTTGCTGCATTCACGGCTGCGATTTGAGCTGTTCGATTTCGTGTGGTGGTGTGACCAACGGCGTGGCACACAGCAAGGTGGCAGTCACAGTCCAACGCTGTTTGGCCGCCTGGTTGCCGCCCGCTTTGAGCAACTTACACAAACTTGGCAGTTGCAAGGGGAACACCCCGCGTTTGTTGCTGCAACCTTGTCCCTGTGGGCTCTCTGGTTTATTGACGATGCAATTCTTGTTTTCCAGACTGTTGCTCAAGCCCTCCGACTTCTGCCTCAGGTTGTTTCGATGCTTGCTGGTTTGGGGCTCAGCATTAATGTCGCCAAGTCTTGCATTCTGGGGTGCTCCCTTTCATGCGCTTTGCCTGGCTGCTTGGCGGCGTTCCCTGTGGTGGCGACCTCCAAGTATCTAGGCTTGCCTTTTCAGGTCACTGGTGAGGACGACCATATGGTGGATCAACTCTGTAACCGTGCCACGGCTGCGTTTTTCTCCAACCGTCCCATTCTGACTAACCGTCTGGCTACACGGCAACACAAACTTCGGCTTTTTAATGCCCTTGTGACTGCTTCTCTTCGCTGGTCCCTGTGCGTCCTGTCTGTCAGACAACATGTCCTCCGGCGTCTTCGCGTGCACTGTGTGACCTTGCTTACGTGGCTGCTGGGGGGTCGTGCGCACCCTTCTTGGTTTACTGTGGAATGCTTGCAGGCTCTGCGACATGGTGTGAAGCTTTGGGGCCGGGCCTACAGTGAACTCTGGGATACTTTGCTAGCCCGCATGGTTTGGCAATGGATTGGACATGTCCTTCGCATGCCTCCGTCCTCGTTGACTCGCTCCGTGCTCCTTGACTTGAGACCTTCTTCTGGCCAAAGGCGCAGTAGAACCGGACCTGACAACAGTGGTCACCGCAGCGTGATCCGATACTTGCAGCATCAGGGCTTAGAATTGCACGTTGCGGAAGATCGTAGCCAGTGGAAAGATTTGGAAACTAGTTGGCTGCGGCACAATGGGGTTCCCCCTGTGCCTGATTCCCAGGCAAACATATTCCCATTATCTGGAGACAAGTACATGTGGACCCGGCGGTGCCTCCAGGGAAGTTTCCATGGACAGCAAGTCCTTGTTTGCGACGTGACTCATCCCCTTGAACGTTGTTTTTTGGAACTGGACCGCGTCAATGGATGGCGCAAACAATCATACTGTGGCAATGGTTTGGCAGCTTTGTTCCAAAGCCTTCTGAGCAGTGAGTGGTTGTGGCGCAGTACTTTCCACCTGCGAGTTCTTCTGTTCCAAACGAGCCCTGAGCAAACTCATGTAGATGCCCTTCTGAGAGAGACCCCGATGTTTTTTGAACCGTTTCATTTGTGTCGAATAGTAGCGGAAGTTTCATTGTTGCCCATGGCATGGAGTGGCGCTATGAAGCAGCTAGCAACAACGCTAGCGGGCTGACCTGCTCCTTCTTGTCACTGGGCTTGGCTCGCCTTTAGCCTTTGGCTAGACTCTTGGAGACGGCGATGGAGAGAGAGAGAGAGAGAAACATATATAAACAGTCGAAAGTTAGTCAAAAGTAAAAGATAAGTTTTTTTTACTAGCCTACATTGCCATTTCACATGGCCAGCGTGAGGGTTTTGCTACTTGACAACTGATCAAAGTGCTTCAAAGGTGACATGATTGTGTACGAAACCATACGGCCATCTATCACCGCCGGACCATGTAGTATGTATTACGTATTATGTATTATATATGTATACATCTAGTATGTTGTATTATGGATTGTGTATATCTGTATATGTAGATTTGTATGCATACGGTATTTGCATTTGCGTTTGCGATTGTATACATGTGTGTGCAAATTGCATACGTATGTAGACGCACACGCAAATGCAAATGTATGTGAAATAGAAACATTGACAAAACGCGCACGTATATATATATAATATACACATGTGCTCGCGTATGTAAATCTGCATTTGCTTTTATGAGCTTTT